TGAATATATCCTTCGGCATATCTGTTATTTTATTTTTTTGAAAGATCGAAATAATGACAACTTTTCTAGTTTTAACTTTTATTATCAGTACCTACTCTTGGAGTACAAGATAGCAAGATCCTAAGATACAGCCGCCTCGAGTCGATTTGATTCTGATCAGGTCACTGCAAGATCGTTCAATCTAAATCATGATTGCTCTCTCAATATAGACGTGCTTAATCATAGGATGCTCCATTTTTTATTTGTTTAAGTAGCTTCAATCAATTATAGTATACCGTATAATGCTAGTGATCTGTTATCGTTTGAACTCTATATCTCACTAAAACCTAGATTTAACAAATATTTCTTTATAATCATTTTGTTAAAGTATTCCGTATCTAACTAGTTAACATACATTAATTTTTACTAGGCATTTTTTTGTAGAGTATGAAATTTTGCAACACATGTGTTTAATGCAAAGCTAACTTCAAGGTCAGTATAAGATTCACGGCTCTACTATAGTTTACTGAGAGTATGAATTTTTTTAGTAAAAAAAAAATGTCGATCAGTAGCCTGTTTGAAGTTTCTCAACAACAATACGTAGAGTCATACACATCAGTACCTACTAAAGCATGTATTGTGCCCATTGCATAGAATTTAAGTAAACATCCTATTGGTAAGTATAGAGCATGATAAGTTAACTATATTTTTTTGACTAGCTATTTGATAATAAAACTTTATTGCTTCTACTACAAGTTGTTTTAATTTTCTAAGTAAGAATTAATACATATTAACAAGCTTGATATGGAGTACTCTAACGAAATGATTATAAAGAAACACTCGATAACATTTGATTTTAGAGAAATATAGAACTCAAATAATAACACATCATTAGAATTATACGTGTACTATAATTGATAAAAACATCACATTTTTCTGATAATTGACTGAAGCTATATAAACAAATAAAAATCGAGATATCCTATGATTAAGCACGCCCATATATTCTTTTTGTGAATGTAAGAATAAGAGAATATTTGATATTAGTCAAATAACCTATATTTAAAAAGAATAAATTTTGAGCAAGAACTAATAATCAACGGTTTTTCAAAATATTATTTGATTCTACATAATAGACGTTCTTGTACTGTTTTATTTAAGTATCGAAGAAAGTAAAATAGTTTTAACAACACGGATTCGTTGAAAATCTTTTCCAGTAGGAAATTCTTATATTTGAAATCAAAACAAATTATATCACTTTAACTATAAATATATATATACGTTTTGCTACGCTATGAATAGCAGAAATAAAAAGTTTATCATAGTCCTATGTAGATAGAAGATGAAATTTAGATCAATGTGCTATGTTGAGTTTCATTTGATACATTCTTGTTTGGTAAGATACCTTCGCACTGCATTAAATATCACCATCGGACTCAGCATGTGGAATAACCTCTACCTAACTACTTTTGCGAATGATCACAAGTCAACTGATGAAAAGCGAAGGTATCAAGAAAAGCCTTATAACTTTCGAACAGAATAAGCTAGAGGTATTGACCTTATATAGATCGAAATGGAAGTAACTTCAGATTATCATTTTTAAAAATCTCAACTAAGAACTGCGATCAATCAAATTTCAATATATCACGATGATCATCAAGTCTTCTCTTTCGAATAATGAAAACCACAGATTACACTATGATGTTCCTATCAAAATTTATCTAAAAACTAATGGAATACATTATATTTCGAAATGTATAATAATTAATATGATAAAATCTGATCAGTGGCGACATCTATGAATAAATGTATATTATCATCATCGATCGAGAACTAAAAACAATATACCAATCAATAAAACTGATAAGAAAATAGATAACAAATACGTCATATTTATTTACTAATTCAAATCTTATTTTGTGTCAAATTAAAAAAAACGAAAAATCTAGATATTAAAATTTTTATTTTCTAGATATATTCAAAAGAAAAATAAAACAATTAAAATAAAGAAATTTTCTTCTATTTTACAAAACCATATTTGTATGAAATATAAACATGTCTTGGAATAGAACATGTTGTATGTCAACAACGTCATCATCAACTAATAATGGTTCATCAGCAGCATTTTCATTATCATCTTTATCACGTGACTATGGCATACCACCGCCGCCACCATCATCATCATCATCATCGTCTTTTTTGTTTCTTCCTTCATCTGATTACATTGATGAACAATCTACAAGAGAACGAGAAGAAAACAACTCATTGCCACCACCACCACTTTACAACTATCATCATTCTTACCCTCATCTTTATTCTCCTATATTTTCTTCGCGTATCAATGTATCAGACACATGTTCATGTATTACTAACAATAATTATTCATCTCAAATACCATCATATGATATATCTTCATCATTTCAAAATCCATTTTTATATGAACAATATTTAACATCATTAAAAAATGAACAATCTGAACATTTACCATATTTATTTGATAATATTATTTATCCACAACCATGTTCACCACCATCACCAATAAATGATTCTATAACATATTATCAACTTGATCATGCTAATACAACAACAACAACAACAACAGTAATAAATAAATTTCCACAACATTCACATATACAAATAATTCAACCAATTACTTATCAACAATTATCACTTGTTGAACCACCATCATCAAATATTCAACAAAAATTACCTATTGTTAAACGTGTTTATTATGATTCAAATATATCAAATACAACAACAACAACTCTTATGACAACAACACCTATAATAACAAATATTAATGAAAATAATCATTTAAATATACCTTATGCTCGTCTTGATTCAATTTATTTTGGTACATATGATATTTGGCAAGAACGAACAATTATTGGAAGAAAAAGTAATCGACATGAAGTCGATATTAATATGGGTATGTAATAATATACAATTATTAAAAAAAACAACAAAATGAGATCATCTATAAAAGATATCGACGATTGATATAATAGTCGCCGAAAGTCTCACTATCAAATAAAAAATACCTGAACTTCAATCATTTTACTAAAAACCAAGCTCAATAAAATCTTGATTCCAAGCACTAATCTACGATAATAGAAGATTTCAACCTGCTGTATTCCTACTTGATTAAGATAGATAGCTCATTGGAAAAAATTTCAAAAGCTAACGAAGGAATTACCTCAAGTGATACTCGCCGTTTGAGTTTATGTTAGATCCATGGATCTTTGTCACTGAATTATAACTCAAAACTTTGCCTATAGATAAGTCGGATGACTCTTAGAATATTCTGGAAGTTTCTTTGTTCAAATATTGAATTTTCAAATAAAGCGCTTTACCACAGACATGTCATACAAATCGAGTTCACTTGAAAATTCAATATTTGAACAAAGGAACTTTTAGGATATTCTAACAATTATTATATCAATCTATAGACAAAATTTTGAGTCATAATTTCGGCAGCAAAGTTCGATGGGGGATGAATCCTATTAGGATTTTGTTATTCTCACCGAGATCTGTCTGTGAGTCCAGTATGAACTCAAACGACAATACTTTGACATGAAATTTTTATTGATGATAGAGACTCTTTTTCGGGCGTCCTTGAAAACAAGGTGGATGATGTCTTCTATGAGATATAGAAGTTATAAGGACTAAAAATGGCTCCAATGTTCGCCTTCGATTCTCCTCGATTGAGTTGATTCTCATTGTCTCAATAGGGTTTAGTATCTAGTGCCTCTAGTCAAAATTTCACTTCGATTGAATCAAGTATGTCGAAGATACTGTAATTTTTCCATTAGAAAATGCAAAACTATGTAAAAAAATTCTCGCTATATAATGATTAAAAATTTTGAAGTTCTGAAAGGAAGAATAATCTTAAAGAAAATGAATATCTTTTATGAATAAATAGATATTCAATAATTTTATTTTCTAGGTTCAACTGCAGTTATTTCTCGTATTCATTTTGAATTATTACTTATTAATAGTATTGAATTTCATTTAAAATGTCTTAGTAAAAATGGAATCTTTATTAATAATAACTATGCAAAAATGTTTTCAACAACTGTTTTACCTAAACAGTATGATTATTAATTTCTTTTATTTTTATTAATCTTTGTTTTTTTTTCTTGTCTAGATGTGTCTTTCGTTTTCCAAGTACAGATTTATGTATTTCATTTTCATCATTACTTAATAATAATAATTCAATAAGTCGAACATCAGTTGAAAATATTTCACGTCATATATTAAATAATACATCACAACATCAACGACATTTATCATCATCAATGCCAATTGATATAACATCTTCAGTATCTCTTCAATCAGTGCCAAATATTACATCACAACAACAACAACAACAAGTTATTTTTGTTGATGTTAATCAACAAACATTTAATCATGAATCAAATAATAATCTTCCACCATTGACTATTAATATACCAAATTCATTATCATCAACTGATTCATCACTTTCAGCTGGTAGTAATAGTACTACTGGACAAATAAAATTTCAATATGAAAGTCCAATAGCAAATAATAATTCTTTTCTAGGGTAAATTTTTAATAAAACATAAACAGTTTTTTTTTTTGTGTATTTTAATTCTATCTAATAAGACAACCAAACTATGATTTCTATACATATTTTTTTTTAGTTCATCCATTTCATCTTGTTCGACAAGTCCAAAAAATGAACCACATGAAAATCAACTAATAATTAAGTAAAAGAATCGAAAATTTGATTCTCAACAAAAATAACTTTACTATATTTTTTGATTTAAGTTCTCCAATAATTCAACGAAATTCATCAACTACTATTGATAATATTCAACAAGAACATGATAATAATAATAATAATTCAAAACCGATTACTAAACCACCATTTTCATATGCTCAATTAATAGTTCAAGCTATTTTATCAGCACCTGATAAACAAATGACATTAAGTCAAATATATAATTTTATATCAGCTCAATATCCATATTATGCAGCAAATACTCGCGGTTGGCAAGTAAGTTTTTATTTAAAAAGAAAAAAACTTCTTTGTTGTTTGAATTTTAGAATTCAATACGACATAATCTTAGTTTAAATCGTTATTTTATTCGTCTTTCACGTAAAGAAAATGAATCTGGTAAAGGAAGTTTTTGGTGTTTAGATCAAACATGTGAAGAAAAATTAATTGATCATGCATTTCGACATCGAAAACAACGTGGAAATTCAATAAATATTTCAATAAATTCAAATATTAAAAATGAGTAAAAATTCTCTTTCTTTTTTTTTATTTATTAAAAAAAAAAAAAAATTAAATTTTAGATCTGAAGAAATTCATTCTCCAAATACACAATATTATAATGATCAAACAGAATTTTTATTAGCTGATATTCATACAAGTAATTCATCAACATCATTATCATCAATAATAAGTCCATTAACAATGGTTATGTCACCTATTCGACAAGATGAAGATTATAAACGAAAACGAAATGATGAGAATGATGATTTAATTAATCATGAAATAGAAGAATTATTAAAATTTCTTATGAATTCTATTGATAGTAATATAACATTATTATCATCTGATAAAACAATTAAACGTCAGAAAACATAAATCTTTTTTTTTTTTTATTATTTTGTTTATGTTAAAATGATGCTCTTTGTTTAGTTTTCCGAAACATGATTTATTGTCGATTATTCATTATTCTTTTTTTTTGTTTTTTTTTTGGTTTCTTCCTTTGTGCATCCGAGTGATGTGATTACAGATGTTGTTATAAACGAAAGTTTGTTATATTTTTTTTTTGTTTTGTTTCTTGTTGTTTTGTTATTTTATAAACATGAAAGTTATATGATTGATTTTGTAGAAAAAAAAAAGCAAAAAAAATCGAAATAATTAACAAAATATTAGGTTTTTTTTGTTATTGAAATGACAGTTATACTAACAAGGGAATCAACCTTCTGATATCAATGATTTGTTGTCTGTAGATATGACATAGGGCTCCTAGGAGGTAGTCCGATTGAACTTATTATACCGATCTTTTTTATTGATTTTTTTTGGGGGGTACTAAAACCGATCAGTTTTGCTGGTTTTTAATGATTAAGAGATATGCGTCTGGAAGTCTCAAATTAACAAATTTCTAGTTGTTGTTAAAATTCCAGCTTCTAAATATTGAGCTAACACTTTCTCATGATATGATGAGAGTCTCGGATCATGGTAATGGAAAGTTATTAGAAGTTAATTTCGATCTGAACTAAAGATTTTTCACCTTGAAATTTCGAACACACTTTTAATGATTACTTTTAAGCGACTCTCATAAAATCTCAATAGTTAGTAATTTTCAATTTCGACAATCTGAAACCTCTAGAAAAAACATTCGACAGTTTTATCAAATCCAAATCCTGTTAGGGTTTTATTAAACCACTATAGAGTATTTATAGGCAAAAAAGGATCATTGAAATCGGAAGGAAACATCCGAGAAGGAGGTTCCCTCACATTAACCAATCGGCTTAGACCTCTAATCATGATTATGAAAAAAATATTTTCTTATTTAGTAAATCATATTGACGTAACCTTGAACAATACAGAATAAGTAATATTTAACATAAAACATGATATATTTTTAGTCGTATTAGTCAATATAATAATAGACATTTCAGTTCCAAAACGAGTCATTCTAATTATTATGATAAAGTTCGTCTGGATTATGTTAGTCGATCAATAAAAATAGTTGTATTCACTACTACGATTGACTTCTAATAAATATGATTAAATACATGAAAATAGAATATAGGAACGGAAATTGTTTAGCTGAAGAGTATAATTAACTACATAATAACGTTAAATTGAAGTTACACACCAAAAAAGAAAAAAAAGATTTTTATTAATGAAAATCTTTTCGTGATTCAATTAATCAATCTGATATAAACATTTTTATAATATTGTTGATTATCTAATTCTATTCTTGAAATGTAATATAGACCATCTGTTTATATGTTTTTCTATTAGCCTCAAGGTAAGAATTTTATTTCCTATTAAATATGCTTCGATGAATTTTAAATAAAGTTTATTACAATTAAAAAGTAAATACTCTCGTAGAGAGAGAGAGAGAGAAAGTTCGGTCATCTTGACATTTATTTATAGGAAAACTAATATTTCTTCTATATGAAATTTCCATAAATATCAAGTTATTTTATTTTTTTTTGTATGAGAAAAAACAAAATATTTAATTCTTAAAAAACAAAAAACCAAACATTCGATTGTTTAATTCTAATTTTACCTGTAAATTTCCTAATAAAAATGCGTCCGAGTGAATGTCAATAAAAATTGAGTAGTTTCTCGTAAATTAAAAATAACTACTGTCGTGCTCATAAGAACAACCAGTAAATTGCGTGTTAGAGAATAACAATCTGCATTTTTGCGGTAGAATGGCAGTCAGAGGGTAACCAACCGTTCAAGGTCCAAACCACCGACGGCATAACACACACACATACACCAGACCGAACAGACTATTGACAGTTTATCGTCATTTGTTCTCTGGTTTAAATCATGTAAGTATACTAAGGTGAAGGAAAAAACTTTAATAACAACAGTTTTTTTTTATCTATAATGTTAAGCAATTAGCTCAAATTGAGATTATGATTCTTTACTATCATAATTCATCTATGAAATTTTAATAAAGAATGCATTAGATAGAGAACTTTATTAACCTGAATTTATATTTATTTAAAAACTTTTCGAGATAAACTAACAAAAATCATTGATCTTCTATTGATTTATGTTTCATCCACTTCTCAAAATCTCTTTGTCATACATATTTATGATATGTTCTTTGAGAGAACGAACTTGAATGCAATTTATCATCTTAGCTACTAGTTTCAGTGATTACTAAATTATTGTAAAAAAGAAAAACTTTCCACCTATGTATAGCACCTTAGCTTTTGTCTGTTAGTCGAAATTAATCCTAAGATTAAAATATAAAAATCAGTTTTTTTTCTTTAAATTAATAAAATGAGATATTAAAAAAAATTCTGTAGACATTTATTTCCTGTGGATTGATTGAATCATCGCCTAAGACGCAAAGAATGTAAAATTTGTTTTTTTGTACCTTAAAGTGAACGTATAATTTTAATTAATATTGATGAATACAACAAAGTTAAAATCCTATAAGATGTTAAATGAAATTTTATTATGCTCGAAGACGATAAAATTCTTTCAGAATGATTTGAAAGCTTCTTTTCTCATAATCATTTTGACATTCTTATCTCGAGTATCTTTTTTTACTAATACCTTTTTGAAATGTTATATATATATTAGATTAAATTCATAGTTTTCAAGAAAAATTTCATTGAAATTTAGATTCTTATGATTATCTACATTCATCGATGAAGTTTGACAATTATTCAAATTATTATTATTATTATTATTGATTCGATATGTAAACAGGTTATTTATAAAAACAAAAAAAAAAAGTTCCATTCAATCAATAGTCGTTTGTTTTGCCGATTTTTTTATCGGATATGATAGAGAGAAAGTCAATAGATTCATGAGAAAATTTGCATTATTTTATGTTTAGAAGTTATTTGTAAATTAAACGTAGTTTGATGAAGAAGGATCGTAAAATTCTTGGCAAACATCTGATTTTACTCAAAAACTATTTCCATTATTAGATTAACTTGTTTACAAAAAAAAAGAACATGTCTCTAATCAAATTCAGATAACCGTTTTCGAGAGATCCTTTCTTCTTGAAAATTCTTTTAGCTAATTAAATATGTTTTTTTTCTTTACAGATTCGTTCTAGCTATCATCATCATTAAGAATATTATCTCAAATGTTTAAATCCGCTAAAATATTTATGCTTGTATTTCGTATCTATTATTCTTTCAATAAGCAGAACTCCATTAGGCCAGTTGTTTTTTTTTAATATATCTTCGAATATTTTGTTTTATGTCATACTTAGTATTACTGAATATGACTTAAAGTTAAAATATTTTAAAAGGAAACTAGACATTTTTTATAAAAATTTTATGTAATAAAATTAACGCATTAATATAGAATAATTTTCAATGAATTTTTTCTTTTTTTCCCCTTGAAAACTCATAATTTAATCTAATAAATGACATTTTAATAAGGTATGCGGTTTGTCATTCTGAAGTATTTTGTTCTCGTCGTGCATAATAAAATTTATTCAATATCTTGTAGAATTTTTGAGTTTTGTTATGTTGAACAAAACTAAGTAAAATTATATATTCATTCTATAAGTCTTATAATGATTATTTAATCATTTCAGATGGAGTGAATGTATACAGAAAATTGTTTTTTAGAATTTATTTTAGAATTTTTTATAAATAAAAGTAGAGAATAGAAAATATTATCGTTAATTTTAGAGCACATTAATATGATTTTTATTTATATTAACTCAGATTTTCTCTAAGTCTAGAATCGAGGATATAGTTCGTGCAATACAATAGTCGATAATGTATCATTATTTCTAGAGAAACACTACGAAAATGAGACAGGATGAAGAAGTAAGTAAAAACTACATAAAAAAAAGGAAGCAAATCAGATAAGGTAATAGAATCATTCAATCGAAAGAGAAAGATACTATTGCTCGATCAGTTCTAACATGACATGAATTTCTTATAGATAAAAATCTAAATATTAAGTTTAATATTCATAAGAATGATTTTTAAATTATTATTGATCTATTTTAACCGCAATTATAGGAACTTATTATGCTGTCAAAAGTATGTATCCAAATGAAAAAGAAAAGCAAAGAAATTTTTTTTTTTGTAGACATTCATGTTTTCATCCATATATGACTTCGCCTTTTTTTTCTTCTTCTTTTTAGTAATTAAAATTATAGTTGTTTACTAATACATACTGAAGTTTTTTTTTTAATCCTTGAATGAGATATATATCACGCTATACATCTACTTGCACTTTCTTAGAACTATTCATGATTCTATAATGATAGATAAGTTAATGTGTATAAACTTGCAATTGTTACTTTCTAATTTTGAATCAAGCAGTAAATTAAAACGTAAGGAAATAATCTAAATTTTTTCGTTGTATTTCATAAGGATTTTTGTTTTTTTTTTGAAGTATATAAAAGTTGCAATCAGAAATTTTCTTTTTTCTTAATAAACTTTCAAATTCTTCTTCTTTATTGATAAATGTTTTTTTTGTGTATGACATCACTTTATTATCTATTTAATTATAATGAAAAAAAATAAATGCTTTTTACTAGCAATAGCAAATTGAAGAAAAACAATTTTTTCCTATCAATATAGGATGTTTTTTTGTAATTTAATATCAGATTTGATTGGTCTCATATTCTTACATCCTGTCACATAGATTCTCCATAGCCTTAAGGCTATGCACTTTGTATGCACGTCATATGTTATTGCTTGAGTTTTCTTTCAGTTATTTCAATATCATTATTTTGGTATTTAAAAGAATATTTATAGCAACATCATTTTTGATTTATATCATATAATATATTAGATGACATAGTTTGTAAGATGTTCATTGTTATTTTTTTTTCTTTTAATTCTCTTGTTGATAGTATTATTTCTAAACTAGAAAGGTATGATATTTATTTTTCTAATATTTGA